TCTAAAATTGTTTCTCTAAATTTCCCATTGGCCCTTACCAATCACGGCCTCCTAATAATCCCTATTCATTACTCTGCTCTCCTCCCCACTGATAGCTGATGTGTGGTGAGTGTTCTGGTGCACTATGGCTGCTGTCGCATCATCCAGGTGGATGCTGCACATTGGTGGTGGTGGTGGGGAGTCCCCATTACCTGTAAAGCGCTTTGAGTGGAGTGCCCAGAAAAGCGCTATATAAGTGTAAGCAATTATTATTTATTATAAATATTTCAACCCTGTTAGAGAGAGCTTGTTATTCTTGGGTTTCCTGGGTAAAAATATCTCAGTTAGAAACGTATTTCCTGCTCAGAGTGCATTTTTAGAATAGGGAAATAGGCTCCAATTTATGTTATGGCATCTAGGCTGCAAAAAGAGAGATTTAATTGGAGGTTGCACTGCATTTATTTAGAAAGCAGCTTATCTGTTATTTGGCCTCTGTAGGCATTAATTAAAAGCTTCAAACTTAGTAGAAATCTGGGAGTTTTCTGGGTGATGAGAATGTTAGGACTCTAAAACACCTTGTTTGTAAATACTGTACAGATGCACACATCTTCAATTTTAACATATCGATTTACATTTGCATACCTAAGTAAATTGTGATGATTGTCAATGAGGAGTACAAAAATACAATATAAGATAAAATATTCAATATAACATATTCAATATTAAGTTATATTAATAATGAAATAAAAACGCAAATGAGCAAAAGTGAATACTGTCAACTGTTCAACTGGTTTAATTCAAAACACGTTATTCAGTGGGGCAATTTAACAGACTCCTCAAGCCTCAAAACGAAATCGTATATATTGTAATAAGAATCGAGAATGACAAAGCAGTTTTAAAAATACCTCTGAAACTATAATAATGTGGCTGATCCTTATTAACAGTGTTAATTTAATAATAATAATTTCAAGCTTCTTGTATCTTTCTCAAAGTATTTTCTTCAGTTTTCATAAGCTTCGCTTATTAAAATATCTATTTACGAGACATGATGTTTCAGATGGCCATATGTTTGTGAACAAATGACACAGAGCCTGCAAAGCGCTGTGATTCGGACACAGAAAGCATGGAAAGCAACTGGTTTGACATGTACAGTAAATGTGACACCTATGGTGCTCTTTTTAGCTGATCTTATGCTGACTATGCATGCTTACACAGCTCCCTAAGTGAATTCTTGTACTTGACTTAGAAAGCATTAGAGATCTTTACATTTTTATTTTCAACAAATTGTAAATATGATATTTACATTGTCGTTTTTTATTAATTTTTCACTTAAGCATACAGAGGAGTGTCAGCTGTCAAGGAGAGCATCCACCCATTCCCCCTTCCCCCTTCCCCCGATGGACAAACTGAAAAAACAATTGGGAAGTGTTAACTATCCAGCCATTGCAACTGCAGCAGCGACAAATAAATAAAAAATAAACTTATTTTTCTCCTGATGGTAACTGTAACAAATTGTCACGTTTCACATGCTTGCGAAACAATCATGACATTCTCATCCAATCAAAGGTTTGATGTTTGTTTTTTATTTTGAAACCGTGATCTTGACATGCAGGTGTGAAGTAGTTAACAGTGTAGCGGCGAGGCTTATTAATAAGGCAGAATTAAGTGTTCTGAGCCTTCCCAAATGAGGCCCCATTTCTCTGTTCATCTCTGTGGTGCAGCCACAGAGAAACTATTCATGCAGGCTGATTTAAGATGTTTTCTTTTGATAAGAAACAAGCTCCCAAAGGGGGATGCACTTAGCTAAGCCTGGCTATCATGATCAATGGTCATCCATTGGTGCCTATCTGTCTAGGGAGTGCCAGTTGGACATCTGGACTGCATTCCTAAGTGTCAGGAGTAAGTGACTCATATCTCACCTTGATCAACCAATCAGGGACTGGTAGGGCCGAGTAACCCACGTGGGACTCTGATGCCCATGGAACTTTCAGCCAATCAATGAGCTGAAGTTCCTCCAGGTAAAAACAGGCAACACAGAGATTCAGTAAGATTAAGTAAGATTCTGGAGAGGATTCTGTGGACTGTTCTAAAGGGAATTCAAAGGAGAATTCCAGGGCAGGACGGCCCAGGAGCAGAAGGCTCCCAAGGGCAGGACATTCTCCCAGCGCGCCTCCTGACCATCCTGAGACTCAGCCCGGACAACCACGGAACGGCCAGTGTGTCCGAGTGCCAGAACTTTCCTTTGTTCTAAGAGTCTAGAGCGGAGGTTGCCAGAGAGTAACCAGAGGATCCACCCGAGGTTAGCATCAGCAGCAAGCCTCGTGAACAGGTCAGAACTGTGGACAGCTGAATCACTATTCAGAACTAGCTCTTCATCAGGAACTAACCGGTTCTCTTCCTGACTTGCTGGGACCCACAGTCATCTTTTCTCCTGTGCACAAACTGTGCTAGTTAAAGCCAACACTAACTAGCCAACAGTGAGCATCAGCAGCGCACCGTCGCAAGCCGCACAGCACAGCCTGGCACCGAGCCAGACAGCGCGGATTGGACAGTAACAGCCTGCAACTGTTCCTTTGTGCCCGCAGGAGATCTGAATCCCCAAAGATTGGATGAGTATTCAACTTCAATGCATTACAGCTCGAGAATTCAATTGTTATCCCAACCAGTTGATATCAATTTAATTCCTAAGAGTTATGTACTTGTTTTGAGTATCTAATGTAGAAGTTATAACCAAGTTCATTTATGAAACGGTCTTAATGAATGATATACTGAACGTATATCCTCTTGATATGTGTAACTCTTTGTAACTGACCGAATATATACCTTTTGTATTCTGATTACCCTCTCGATAAGATCTGTTAGGTTTACATGCATATTCTATGTATTAATAAATGTATCCTCGTGTATTAGTACCTGTGTGTGTGCGTTGTTTGAGTTGTGTTGGATGGTTGGACTCTAAAGACATCAAAAGAATCAACTTTGTGATTTACTGCTACAATTAATAATTATCTCAGTAAATGCTCAAACCCTACAGAACTGGTGCCTTCAGAGAGCCACTATGATTACATATTTGGTGTCCCTGAGACGGTTTTCTTACAACAGCTTCAGATTTAAAAGGTTATTAATAATATCTTCCATGTGGCATTAACATTGGAATGTTCTTACAAGTGTAAAAAGAGGCGATACACAATGTGTCTCCTCTATAACTCTTCAGTTTAAAGAGAAATTCAATCAGAGCCACACAGCATTGTCCAATAATACTCTTCTTGTGTCTAGATTAGTAGGATTTGCGCAATAAGCACATTGTTTAATGGGGATGACATTACCCACATCCATATCACTGTTCAACACAGTTGGAGTGTCAGTTAATAAAACAGAGCGCCTTCAAACACATATAACTACTGCATAATTTCTTTATCCTATTCAGCTAAATGAGGGGAATCAAATCAGTCAGAATCTTAAGAGTGCCAATTGTGAAAATAACCCTTCTTCCCTCTTTTTAATTCACAAAAATTCACACCGGCGCTAACAACAAGCTATAATAGGGGACAATTTTTATGTATTCGCTATATAAGAAACAAACCGAAAGTAATACTATGATCGCGCTTTGAACCATTGGGTGCATTGCTTTGTCCATTACCACTACAAGGACAATAAACGTTTTTTAATAAGAATCGGATGTCAAAATGTTTTCGAAATGTCCACCTGTGATATTTTAGCTGCTTAGTTACACAATTCCATATTCATATAACTATCAAGTGATGTTAAATCACTACAACATTTGTTTTTTTACAATAACAGCAAGTGGTGTTCTTTAGTATGGATTCTTAGAAAAGGATGAAACATTATAACTTTTTATGAAGTACACAATATAAGCTTAATAATGTTAGAACAGGCATGTTAAAACCAGAACCCACTAAGTTACCAAGTTAAAGACTTTGATATGTAAAATATTAATGAATAATTAAATTATTTATGATGAAGGTAGAAGGTTGTCTGCTTTTGCCCAACTGAGCAATCTTGCTTTTATAAAATATACCTACTTTTTAATGTTTACTGATTAACACACTGTAATACAAAATTTAAAATTATTAAAGTCTAAAGAGTATACAACTTAAATTCTTAATTGGAAAAACATTGTCCCACTGCAGTGACCAAGATTAGAAACCAGGCGTTTTCTGGTGACAGCTCAAATGTTATACATGTGATGTTAAGCTTAATTAGCTCCACCTGGATGTTTTACAAGGTTTTACAAGGTGCCTCTGGATACTATTATCAAAATTTAATTCAATGCAGTATAATTCGGCATGATGCACCACGCCTACCACGTTTTAACGCAGCGTACTCTGCTCATTTTAATGGCTGGATCTGTACAAAGATTAACTTGCGTATTGTATGTTTTGTTGTGTGTAGTCATTGTAATAAATATATGTTTAAACAAGTGTGTGTGGATTATTATTCTTTTCACCAAAGCTCTGTCAGAGAATAAAGAATTGATGTACCTCTAATTAAACCAGCCCCTCAGGTATTTTCTGGAGAAATCACTTACAAGTTGGGCCTTATGAAAATGTATTTTACTTATTGACTAAACCTCTTTGTCAATCTCTGATTTTTACCTTTTATGTGACCCGCAATTTGTAACTGGAGCTGTGGTAGCTCATATGGCAAGGGCATCTAGCTTCTGACTGGAAGATCCCAGGTTCAATCCTAGGTAGGGGCAAGCTTGCTCTAATTCCTTCCAGACGACTCCCAGGTCCACTCATCCTGCTTTCCAAATGAGTACCGGGGGTTAATCCTTTCGCGGGTAACAGGCTGGCTGGAGCGTGATGCTGACCACATCACCTCCACCTCCAGTGTCAGATGATCAAGAAAAATGGTGGCCCTTGCCCCCCATTCCCCATGGGCCTTGATGGCCTGAAAAGGACCTACCTACCCATTTGTAACAATATAAAATATACATGTGAATGAAAGAAAAGAAATATAAGAGTTTTCTTAAAATACTCCACTAATTGGTTACCTACCCAAATACTGTCTTCTTGACGATACTGCTTCCAGTTTCTGCCAGTGTCACTGAACATTAGGAGGTAACTTGTCACCCAGTCTGAACTCCCATATCTCCCTTGTGTGGCAACAGCAGTAATCTCAGTTCTTTCTCCAAGATCAATCTGAAGCCATTGATATTTGTTAGAGTCCAAGGGGGACCAACCACCAGCACCTTTAAAATCAAAAGGAAAACAAAAAGAAGGGAACAGTGATTTAAGGCATTGGAGTTAATTTATTTAAATGTACCAGTTGGTTCAGAAAAAAAAACTATAAAAATGAAAAATGAATAAAATTAAGATTTGATCAAAGATTTGATTGCACTTCACAATTAAACCTACTAGTTCATATAATAATTATATAATTGCTGACACTCCACTCAAAGCGCTTTTACAGGTAATGGGGACTCCCTTCCACCACCACCAATGTGTAGCATCCACCTGGATGATGCAACGGCAGCCATTGGTAAAGGCCAATAGGAAATTTTGGACCGGATACCCGGGTAACACCCCTACTCTTTTCGATAAACGCCCTGGAATTTTAAATGACCACAGAGAACCCGGTCCTTATATCTCATCCGAAGGACAGCACCTTTTTTTACAGTATGGTGTCCCCGTCACTATACTGGGACATTAGGACCCACACAGACCCCACAGGGTGAGTGTCCTCTGCTTGCTCCTCTAACACCAGTTCCAGCAGCAACCTTAGTTTTTCCGAGGAGGTCTCCCTTCCAAGTCCTGACCAGGATCTCACTTGGTTAGCTTCAGTGGGTTTCAGATGTGAGTTGCTGGGTGATATGGCTGCTGACCATATTTTTGGGTATCAGTAGCTTCTAGGATGAGTTACTTTTGCATTAATAGTGTTGTCCATTCCTACTGTGTATTAACAAATGTACATACACCTCCATAGATCCATCTCTAATACACTTAAAACAAATATATACTGGACAAAAAAATAAATAACAAACAAACCAAATTACACACTTATCTCTAAACCAGCAGCATAGCTAGTTTAAATATTCTGAAGTATGATTCATGACTCACTTTCAATTCCTTTAAGTTTTGATAAACAATAACTTTAAATAATAAAGTTCTTTGAGGTGAATCATGTTGTGTTTGACTAGATGGCAATTTAGTGTTACTTAATTTGTTTTAATATATTTTAACATTTTATGAGTAATACATAATTGCATAAATAATAAATGTTTAACACTTGATATTTTGAAGAATAACCTCAATTTAGCAAAATTGGTGAATAGCCTGAATTTCGAGGGAAAAAATCATTCTGCATTTAACATGCTAGTATCATATCAAAATCTTGAAAATGTAATCTCAAAAGGCTAGGGGAGTAAACCCTGACGGAGAAATCCAGATTGAAGCCCAAATGATGGGAGGGATCATCATATCCCACTGGTTAGCTACAGCCCACTTCAAGCCAGGCAGCCCCCAGCTAGTAATTTGCTGAACTGCCACAGTCTGCCTGCTTCATTGGGTGCATGGAGCTGAGAGAATCGACTTGACAAGCAGACTAAAAACACTGCACCAAGCAAACACAGAAGCACTAAGAGATCACCAGTTCTGCGCTTAGCAAGTTGTAATATCAGGACCATGTGCCCGGGCCTTTCTGATGACCCAGGTCAAATTGACGACTCTAGGAAGACAGCCATTATCAACCTAGAACTCAAGAGGCTGAATACTGAACGAGAATGGGCAAAGGCTTCTGGAATTCTGGAATTCCCTCGTTTTCTTTAAGATGCAACTCCAACCCAGGCAAGTCAATCGCTTAAAGCAGAAAGGCCGCCCTAGCATCAATACTGCAAAGATAGCAGTCCCAGACCTATGCGAGCGTTTTGCAGAGTCCATTGAGAAACTACACCAAAACTTCCCCATAGACAGCACCGAAAAGAGATGGAACCACATCCGCAATGCAATCTACATTGCAGTAGTCTTTGGCAAGAAAAAGAGACCAGGCTGGTTTGAAACTGGATTTGCTGAGCTGGAACCAGTCAACTACAAGAGGAATCCCTCTGAAAAGATCTTTACAGCACTCAGGAAAACCCGGAGCAACGCTCAATGTACTCAATGTTCAATGCTAGGCGCTTTGCCAACAACTATTGGCTGAAACTCTGTAAGAACATCCAGTTGTCCGCTGACTGTGGTAACATTAATTCAATTTATTTTTATATAGCGCCTTTCACAACAAGGTTGCCCCAAGGTTCTTAACAATACAATTGATGATACATTTTGTCAATACAGACCAGAAGACAACGGAGTAGAGGAATCAAAAACTCCTTAGTAAGGAGAGAAAAAACCTCTAGGGGTCCAAGGTCAACTGGTTGCCCAAACCCTTTGGGCATGCTAACATTATATAATTTAAAAAAGGAAATGATGAGGGTATTAATCGATACATCCATCATGTTTTCTGTGTGTTAGTACTCCATGCAGATCTCTGTATCTCTGTAAAGTCCGCCCTGTACCTGACAGGAAGCCAATGAAGAGAGCTAAGTATGGGGGTTATATGGTTGTACTTTCTGCTCCTAGAAACAATTCTAGCTGCTGCATTCTGAATTTGCTGAAAGGTGTTGAAAGAGTAGTGAGTGCTCCCTGATAATAGGGCATTGCAGTAGTCTAACCTGCGTTATACAAGAGCATGTAGTAATTTCTCTGTGTCTTGAGTGGAGAGAAACTGCCGTAGTTTTGCAATATTTCTTAACTGTAGGAAGCATGTTTTAGATACTGTTTTAAGATGAGAGTTAAGTAAGAGCCCTGTGTCTAATATGACACCTAAGTTATGTGCTGAGGCAAATTTTTAAAAAGTTAAGTCCTGAAGTTATAGTAGTCCTATGAGTATTGTTGCCTCCAAAAAACATAACCTCTGTTTTATCAGAGTTGAGTAACTAAAAGTTTTCACACATCCTAGTCTTTACTTCATTAATGCAATTACCTAAAGTGATAAAAGACATGTTGTCGTTACGTGTAAAGGTAATGCATATTTGAGTGTCATCGGCATATGAATGAAAGTTAATATTATGGTTTTGTATTATCCTACCTAGCAGAAGCATGTACAGAAAGAACCATATTGGTCCCAGCACTGATCCCTGTGGTACCTCAAATTGAACTGGTGACATTGACGAAGAAGTACAATTATTAGATATTCGAACAAAAAATGGAGTGGTCAACCGTGTCAAAGGCAGCACTAAGATCGAGAAGCAAAAGCACTGTTGCATTCCCTGTTTCAGTAACTCTTGTTAATGCAGTTTCAGGGCTGTGGCCTTGGCGGAAACGAGGCTGAAATTTCTCAAGTATATTTTTTTAATCCAGATACAATTGCAGCTAGGCCACAACCATTCTCAGAAGAATTTTAGATAGAAATGGGACATTTGAAACAGGCTTGTAGTTGTTAAGAACCTGTGGATCCAAATTTGATGGGTGGGGTATTTAGCGGCATACCCCGGTGGGCGTGTCACGGTATCACGCGGTTAATCGCGTCATTTGACGTCATGCC